TCGAGAACATCTTTGATATTTTCCGATTGAGGAATCTTGAAGTGGAAATGTAATGCTATTAAAATTCTACCTTTCAATGCTTTATTAGTTTATGGTAGTGCCCATCCTTCCAGCATCCCTTTCTTTTAGGTCTTGAGATAAATCCAGCTGAATGAAGTGTTTAACCCTCTTATGGAATATGCTGTTACTTGTCTACCCAACCGTTGTTTTCCTGCTTTTCTTGCTCATAGAACCCTCATTTTATTTTTCTCCAGGTACAGTGTATTCTATCAAGGTCACTTGATCACAGGGAGGATGGGCCTCATCTCAGCCCCATGGAATTAAGCATGACTAGCCTAAAGCAGCCATGGCAATCCCACTCCCTTTAGCTAGTGATTGGTCAGAGGTAAGCATGTGTAATAGTTTTCTATTGCTGCTGTAACAAATTAGCACAGAGTTACTATTTCACAGTTTTGTAGGCCCTAAGTTTGGGTTGGCTCGCTTTTTTTTTTTTTTTTTTTTGCTCTGAGTTTTATAAGGACAGAATGGCTGTCAGCTGGCTGGGCCCTGATACTGTGGGAAGGATCTGCTTCCAAGATTATACAGATTGTGGGCAGAATCCAGTTCCTTGTGGTTGTAGGACTGAGGTCCCCACTTCCTTGCTGGCTATCAGCTTGGGCTGCTTCTAGCTTCTAGAAGCCTCTCTCCAGACCCTGCACACAGACTCTTACCTCTCTGAGCCAGCAACAGTATGATGAATCCTTAACACTTGCAATCTTTTTTATTTCTTCTGCTTGATCTCTCTTGCTCTGGCCAGAGTAGACGTTCTGTTCTGTTTTGTTTTTTTATTCAAACCTTGTTTAAAACAGCCCACAAGCTGTATACCAGATTATAAACACTGGAAGGCCAGCTTCATTGTTCCTTTTCCTCCTTTAACAACCACCAAGACTAGCGTTCAGATCCGATGGGAAAGGGAACCAGAGGGTTGGATGTTCTATTCTTAAGGAATTGTATGGTTATACTGGGCCCCTAGATACTCTGTTTTGAGGTTTGCAAACTTCATTATTCCTGCATATTCACAGGTTCCAAGGATTAGAGTGTGGGTATCTATGGGGATCCATTATTCTGCCTCCCATAGTATGCAACCCATGTATGATCAAAGAAACAAGAAGGAGTCCATTGGGAACTTCATTTCCTGGGTGAAAAGACAGAGACCCTGCTCCCTTTTTCCAGCTAGAGACACTAGTATGGAGACAAGATAATCTGGGAGCACCTGCAGCAGCCACCTTGTTACAAGGAGACATTAAGAATGAGGATAAAAAGTCAACATACAAAGGGTGGTGGAGTGGGAGAGTAGGAAGCACCTGGATTCTTGAAACATTTTTGAACAGTAGAACCAATACCAGTGATTGCTTTTGTCTGAATGGCTTGTCAGTTGAGGAAAATTATTTTTTTTTAAAGCAGTCTGTCTAGTTTTCTGTCACTGGCAACTAAAAGCAATTCTGAATGATATGTTGCACCTAGCCTTGATTTCTGGAGCCCTACTGTGGGACAGACCTCTGCTTTTCCATGCTTAAAATGTTGTATTGACTAATCTGAATAAATTTACTTATATAGTAATTCATAATAAATGTGTTCAGTCGTGGCACCAATCTTAGCTTTACCTTGAGACTGTGCTCAGGGTTACAGAGTCCAGGAAGGGGGTCCAGGGGTCAGAAAACTATAGCCCATGAGCCAAATCCTGCTGGCATAAGCCAGGGTTGCTAAGGAAGGTTTTTAGATTCTCAAAGGGTTGTTTAAAAACAAAACAAAACAAAACCAGAACAAAAAAAGAATATGTGACCAGAGACCATGTGTGGCTACTAAACTGAAAATATTTATTATCTGGTCCTTTATAGAAAAATCTTGCCAACCCCTGCACCTGTCATACAGAGGATTGCACCTACCAAGAAGCTGAGATAGATTTTACTAAGGAAAGGGTCATTAGGTCAGCATTTAATACCTTCGAGAAATAATTATAGATCACCATGTAAAGCTTTTGGTACAGGTGAAGATGAATTCTATCTTCAAGTTAAGTTTCTTTTCAGCTCAACATTTATTAGATTTCTGTTATTACAAGACTATAGAAGACACTGGAATTACATAATGAATAAAACAGAATCTTAATGTAGCTGAAAATCACTTCAGGGAGTCATCTTCTCTGGGAGAAACGATCCATGCAATTCCAAGCAAAAGATAAGGGCCTGTATAAAATGATTTCATGCAAAATTTTATATGTATCCACCTTTTTCTAAGGATATGGAGGCAAGGATGGAGAGTGGGTGGTTGGAAATTTGTGCCTGTAACACAAGATCAGAAAGGTAGAAAAGGAACGAACAACCATTTAATAGGTACTTTATAGTAATTAATTATTATAGTAATTAATTATAGTAATTAAGTAAATAATGTAGTAGTTAATTATTATAGTGATTAATAGTAATTAATTATTTATAGTAATTAATTATTAATCAGTCCCCAAAAGTGAATGCTCTTCTACAGTTTCTGTGTCAGGTCATACCCCAATGCCCATATTGTTTTCACTAAACCAAACTGCCTCCTAAAGGGAAGTCAGGGGTGAAGATAAAAGATTAAGGAATGATTCACATATCCCTCAAACTCTGGGGCAGCAGATGGGGAAAGACTATAGAATGAGAAGAGGATCAAACAAAACCTGAAGGATTACTTCTGTTTAATTGTGGAAAGATGAAGGCAAGCTAGTGAAAAACTCTAAAAACAAGTGATCACAATGTGTAAAGAGAACTAAGGTAGTTTCTTTCTTTTTTTTAAAGATTTATTTATTTGACAGAAAGAGACAGTGAGAGAGGGAACACAAGCAGGGGGAGTGGGAGAGGGAGAAGCAGGTCTCCAGGAGAGCAGGGAGCCTGATGCGGGGCTCGATCCCAGGACCCTGGGATCATGACCTGAGCCGAAGGCAGACGCTTAATGACTTGAGCCACCCAGGCGCCCCAAGAACTAAGGTAGTTTCATGGAGGCTAAGAAATTTAAAGGTTTTAAAAGCTTCAGTACCTTGGATAAGAAGAAGAAATAACTGAATTTGGCCAAGAGGAGATATTTTACATTGTTGTCCAATTTGGTAGCCACTAGCCACATGCAGCTATTTAAATTTAAATTCGTTAAAACCACATGAAAAATTTAAAAATTCAAAATTCAGTTCCTTAGTTGTACTCACCATTTGGAAATGCTCAAAAGCCTCATATGGTCAGTGGCTACCGTACTGGGCAACTAGCACATTTCCATCATCACAGAAAGCCCTAGTGGAGTGTGTTTTTGAACACATCCAGTTGTGCAGAAGTAAGAACACAGTGGGGAGACTGAGCAGGTTTTCCCTTATCCTCTCTTCCGTAGTCGGCGCTGTGTGGTTGATCTGTCCTCTCCAGCTTGCACTGGGCTCTTCACTGTTGCAATTCGGCCTCAGCCTCACCCTCTCTGCCCTGGACTATTGCAATGGCTGCCTATCTGCCCCCCCCCCGCCCCCCCCGTTCTTTCCTCCTTCTAACCTGTTCTGCATAAAAGTGCCTTTTCCCTGGCCAGCCAGCCCCAGCTTTTACTGCAGGTCCACCGTGATGGGGTGCGCATGGGGGCCCTGCATCGATCGGCACAATGCAAAGTGATGTCGTCCTCACTCCGTTTCCTTCCCTGTGCTCACTCACACAGCTCACAGTACAGTGCAGGCAGACGGTGACCGTACATTCGCGTCCCACACATGACATGAGGGCGGGAACAGTGGCTAATCATCATCTTCCGTGTCTTCCGGTCTGTTACCAGATCTTCTTCCTTGTTGTCTGCTACTACTGGCTCCTACTTAACAGTTTGTTACCTTATATTTAAGCACTGCACCGGCCTGTTGGTCTTCTTACGTTCACTCTCTCTCCCGCCTTCCACCAGCAGCTCTGGCCAAATACCACCATCTCCTCCAGGCCCTCTCAGACCTACGGAAGAGCAGCAGAGTCCTCTGGGACCCGGGGCGGCCCACCTCCCCTGCCCCACCTCCTTGCACACATCGTCCTGTCGCTGTGCGGTCCTCCCCACTTCCCTGGCACGTTCATGCATGTTCCTCTCCTCTCCTCTCCGGCGCCCGCGCGAGGTCACCTTTCAGACCCCAGGGCCCACTTCCATTCCTCCAAGAAGATTCAGGAGGAGAGCTGCACCAAGTCCAAGGAGGGGAGGCATCATTGTGCGACCGAGGGACACAGCGGGCTTGACCGTGACCACGTGGGGAGCCACCAGAAATCAGACGCACTCCCAGCCCTTTCTATTCCCGCAAATAAGGCAACCAAGTCTTCCCCGTGACGCAGAGCGCGCCGTCGGCCTCTGACGGCGCGAGAAGACGAGAGCTTCAGGGCGGCGAAGGGGGTTGTGGGAGCGCCCTCCGTCGCCCCGCAGACTCACGGGAAATGTAGTGCAGGTTCCTCCAGTATGGCTGCGCCCGGGTAAGGTGCTGTGCGGGTACCCGCCGCAGCTTTCGGGGACACGCTGGTGAGGCTGGCGAAGGGGAGGGCGCCGGCGTAGCGAGAGTCCAGCCTGAGTCGTGGCGGAGATTTGTGGCGCTTCTTCCTGCCGGGCAGGATGGCTGCAACCCCGCGTTCTCCTGTCGGCCTCACCCGGGTGGGCCTGAGGCCAGAGCCAGGGCAGGGATGAGCGGAGCGGGACCCTGGGCTGGTCCGTGGGCAGCGGGTCCTGTCGGTGTGCGGGGTGCACGTGTGTGTTCGGTGCGGATGCTCACGTGCTGTGTCACTCTTCTGTTTCCCTGGGGGTTGGGGACGGGCGATCGCAGCCTGGGGAGCGTTAGTCGGGAGCTGCTCGGGCTTGTCTGACCTGAGCCAGTGCAGTGAAGAGGAGGCATTGGGGTGGTCTGCTGGGTCACAGCGCTGAATCTTGCTGTGCTCGCGTTTGAGTAGCCCCTGAGGCCCTTTGGCCCCTAGGAGTGTCAGGCTATGGTTTCAGCTGATTTTATTTCGCAGATATTTATTGAGTACCTACTGTATGCCAGGCACCCAAGTCTCTGACCTCAAGTCGAGTCGACGACAGTGTTCTGGGCGGGCCCAGCGCACACACGGGTAATTATAATACAATCTGAAAATGGCAGAGAGAGAGGCACACGCCAAGCATCAGTGAAAACGTCGAAGGGGGCCACCAAACTCAGAATTCTGAAGAAGTGGTTTAGGAGATAAGAAGGCAAGGTTGGTTAAGTTTAGTAAGTACAGGCTTACTCAGCAAACGTTTATTGGGTGGCTTTTCGTTGCTAGATCCTGTTCTAGGTGCTGAGTGCTCCAGGGTGAATAATACGGACAAAATCTCTACTTTCATAGAGTTTATTTTTCTGGTAAGTTAGAGGAGAAAGAAAATAAATTAATGAGGACATAAGAAAATATAGAGCAGGTGTTCTTCAAAGAATTAAAACAGGGTGATATGACAAGTGATGGGGTCAATTTTTTAATCATTTAAAATTTTTTCTTTTTTAATAGGCAATGCAGTTTGAATAGCTACTAAATTCAAATTTATCTACAAGCACAGGAACAATTTTCTATACTGTGTTGATTCATTATGGGCACTCTGTTGTTCAAGGAGGGCAGGATCACACTACCGTTAGCACTTAGGGCAATATCCAATAGGATATGTTGGGGTTAAACTTACTAGCAGAGTCTGTGTAATCTCTAAACTCTTGTTAACTCATGGAGAGTGTGCTTAGACTGTTTTTGATTAGACTGGACTCAGTATGGCTAATAGTCTATCTAGTAACTAATGAGTGACCTTACTCCTGTAACATCCCATAAAACTACCATAGCATGGCAAGGAGCATCCAAACCTCTGTGCAATAGTAAAGTTTTCTTGGCCAGGGAAGTGGCCTTGTGAGCCCAATTTTACACATGAGGGCACCTCCAGACCTCAGCAGCTGGTATCAGCCTATTCCTTGTGTTGAGGCGACTCAGACCTGCTGGGCCAGCACATAGCCAAGTCACTGGAATGGGAAACAAATGAGCCTCCAGAGCTATCTGGATTTGTCTTTGAAAGGGAGGAAGGGAAAAAACAAAAAAACACACTATCACTTGAATTAATAGCATTGTTTTTAGCTCAATAAGAATATTTCTGATTGAGTTCAGAGTTCCAACTTTATTAAATTTTTAAAGTATTTTCTAATCTTAATTGTTTGAACTCAAGTAAAACATTTTAAAATTAAAAAAGAAAGAAAGGGAAGAAGGTAGAGAGGATGACAGAATGTGATCATGAGGCTCCATCTGCTGTTCTAGGCTCTTATTTTCATGCTTTTAAAAAGATGTATTCAGCATCTTTTTCTTATGTCTTCCACTTTGCAGTCTTTGCTCATGTGACATGTTGAAATAAGAATTCTTAGTGTTTTTATCCCTTATTTTCCATTTCACACTGCAAAGATGCCATTCCAAAGGTGATTATCTTGAATGGCAATAAGATAGTTCCTTTGAGGGCCCTCAGCTTTTCCTTGTCTTCTTAAACCATTCCGATCCTGCTCTTCTGGAAGTTACCAACAATTTATTAATAGACATATTTAATCCTTTTAACAAATATATGAGATAGTGTCAGAAATTAACACAGCCAGACATTAATGTGGTGAAAACAGATTTTATTTAGTCACTACTGACAGTAGGGGAAAGAGCTGAGCTCCATTCCAATTTGTGAGAAATGATTTGGGTGTTTTAAAGGTAGAATGGGGTGCGGAGTAGAGCAGGGGCTCCATAGAGTTAGAGAAGTGAAAAATCACAAAGGATTGGTCATTGCAAATGCAATTAGGCCAGCTGTGTTTGCTAGCTGGCAGTTATTAAAGATAGGATTCTATCCTACCACAGAGACTGGGAAACAGAGGCCCTATCCTTCCTGATGATTACATTTCAAAGGAATGACTCTCAGGTCCTTGAGAGAAATACTTCTTTTTTTTTTAAGATTTATTTATTCATTTTAGAGAGAGAAAATCCGAGTGTGTGAGTGGGGGTGAGGGGCAGAAGGAGAATCTCAAGCTGACTCTGCTCAGCGTGAAGCCCAATGTGGGGCTCGATCCCGCGACCCTGAGATCATGACCTGAGCTGAAATCAAGAGTCGGATGTCCAACCGACGGAGCCACCCAGGTGCTCTGAGAGAGATACTTCTGAGTTGCAAGAGATACATATTCACAAATGTGATTCCCTTTTAGTAAATGCTCTAAGAAAGGGAGATAAGGGGCCCATCAGTAGGTGTTGCTAGAACAAATGCTAAATTTCCTGGCAGCATTTTTAGTTTTCTCAGGCAGTCATTGTAATGGGGAAGCTGGGGACATCTTAGGGACGTGGCTTTATGCTGCTAGAACCATGGTCGAGTTTGGTCTAGTTTTTTAGTGCAGGGTTTAGTTGGAATTATGTGCCAAGAGCAGGCTCTATTAGCCCAATTTTACACGTGAGGGAACCCAAGCACAGAAATCAGTAACTCACAGGATGGTACAGCTAGTAAGTGGTAGAGCTGAGATTTGAATGTAGAACCTGGACCCCTAACTACTGTCTCATAGCACTCACGGAGACTCTGGGGAAGCAGTAAAAATTATGATTTAATCCTTGTCAAAATAGTCCAATGGAAGGGACTTGTTCAAACATTAGAACAAATAATTATAATCAGTGCGGTGTCAAAGATATCCGTTCAACTCTCCTCTTCCTGTCTAATGAGGACACAGAAAGCTTTCTAACCTGATTTTTCCTTTTAGCCACTTCCTGCTGTTACCTGCCAGCCAGACATTACAACTGTGTATCTCACCAGAGCCTCAGACCTGTTACATCCTCAGTCCGACTCATTACCTCCCTTCCTCATTATTGTCTCTCTTCCAGACCCTCTTCTGACTCTCCAGTTTCCGAATGACATTGATGGTCTCGGTCACTTGGGCTCTGTCCTGTTAGGAAGTGATCTGTGTTTCCTCTTTCCCTCATGTATCAGTAGTCACCAAGTCCTACGGAAGGTACTAGAACTTTTCTTTGGTCCTCCCCCGTTTCTCTGTTTCCTTTTCTCTTACAGCCTCCCTGCGCACGGGAGCGGCCGTTACTGCTACTTGCCAGGCCGGGTTACTGCAGATCCTCCTGCCCCTCGCTTCCCTGTGAGGCTGGCCAGCCGGCCTGCTGCTCTGGCCTCAGTTCCTCTCACACGCACCCTGTGGGTTAGTTAAGTTAGCTCCTGGCTGCTCTTCCAGTCAAGTCAGCAGTTTCTCTCTAGACATAAAGAGTAGTGATTAGAGTTTTGGCTGTTTATGAGCTATTTTGGAATATGATTTTATTTAACTTCCTAAATTTATTTTGTTTGCTAACTTTGAAGATTTTCAAGTGGGTGAAGAGTGGGATCGGTGGATCGGCCAACAGTCTCTGCTCTAAAAAAAATATGCCTACCTCTCACTCTCTTTGCCAGACGCATCCATTTCTGTTTTTAGCTCCTGCTCTTTATTGCCTCACTGGATACCTCCCTTCCAGATGACTCCGTATTCCCCTTGCCCTTCAGTGCTCAGCTCAAGTCGACTTCTGTTTTGAAGTTCTCCCTGATTTTTCCAGTTAACAGTGATCTTATTTTTTTTCTAATTCATGTCACATTGAAAGACTCTACAGCTAACACTCAATTATATCAAGATATGTTATTCTTTCATTGTTTAGTGTTTGTCTGTGTTCCTCAACTAATTTCTAAACTTGTTGAAAGCACAAACTGTGTATTGTAGTTGTAGGCTGCAGAGTGCTGAGACCATAAATAGGCATGTGTGTATCTGCCCATTATCACTCATTTATCCCTTCAACACATTTTTATTGAGCACCTACTATGTCTAGCATTCCTGCTCAATTAAGCTACAAACTAAGTTAAATTCTGTGACTAAAATAAATAGGCCACTGTAATAAAGCATGATGTAAGATGTTGATTTGGATAGTGTGAATGCCTTTGTGGGAAAGTGCTCAGTAACTACTTGCTGACTGACATATTTTAGTAGAAGGAAAACACAGTTCTATGGGGTTCTTATATCTGTATTTAAAAAATTATGGCTATAAATATATATATAATATGTACAGCTTAAAAAATAAAAAAACACCTAAATCCCATATAACTTAAGAAATACCTTTGATGCTTTTGTATGTCCCTTTTATATCACATTCCTCCCCTCCCGCCAGAAATAACTTCTCTCCTGGATTATGTGTCTATTATTTCTCTGCTTTTCTTTGCGTTTTGCTATATGTGTATTTTTAAACAACATATGGCTTCCTTTTGGGTTTTGAACTTTATGTAAATGGAATCATACTGTATATTCTGTGAATTTTTTATTTTCTTTCTTCTTCTTCCTCCTCTTTCCTTCCTAACCTTATGTTGTGAAATTCATCTGTGGCACATTTTACCTAGGACTTCACAAGTAAGGGGCTGTATCACCTGTGGGTAATGTAGTGCACCTAAGAGAGCATTGGAACATTTTGTAGACCCTCAGAGATGCTCTTGCTTTTTTGATGTTCTTGCTTTTTTGTTACCTTCTTAAATAGCCCTTTGTTGTCCAGGCATCGGTTTGTTTTCACTTCTCTTGGTTGGTGAAAAGTAAAGTAAGCATTTTAAAAAATGATCACATAGAAATATTTATAAACTCTAGAATATATGAATAGCATTGTTATAACTTCCGCTAGGATTCTTAAAGTTGACATTTTATACCTTTTTTTTTTTTTCCAGTACTGTCATGGACAGCAACCATCAAAGTAGTTACAAACTCAGTAAAACTGAGAAGAAGTTCTTGAGGAAGCAGATTAAAGCCCGGCATACTTTGCTGAGACACGAAGGCATTGAGACCGTATCCTGTGCCACTCGGGTAACCTAAAACTGTTACCGTTCGAATGTAGCCATGTCGCCATGTTAACGTGTTGCAGTCATATTTGTTAATAATTGCTCAGAGAAGGAGGCTGTGATTGTTCAGTCTTGTGTTATGTCTCTATTCAGTATACACATGACAGGACCCGCTAACTTTCTGTTTTGGGGACATAGTTTGAATTTCCATTGACTGTGTTGGTTGAACTGGAGGGAGTGGTGGGTATATGTTAACAGAAACACTGTATAACTGTACAGAATTTACAAAGCATATTTCCATTCATTATTTAATTCCTTAGGAATTCTTACATGATGGGTTAGAGAACTAAGGCTCTGGCAGGTGGTATGTCCTTTGATAGGGTGGCTGAACAGAAAACTAAACCTAAACCTCTTTTGTATCCTAATGTAGTCTTTCCCCTCTATTCCTAACTTCATTTTTGTTATAAAGTATTTTGACTATGTGCTGTAAAACAGTTTTAATTTATTAGACCTTATTTACAAAAGCCTTTTCATTTTCTAATGGCAATAATTCAATTATATATATTATATTATAATATGTGTTAATTATGAGGGACTGTGAGACTTCTTGGACTGTGAGTTAAGAAGAACTTAGTTTAACTCTTAGCTTTTCCACTTATTTGGACGTGAGCAGTCCCTTCGAGATCAGCTTTCTTCATTTGTAAAGACGTAGTATCGCATGCCTTTTTATTCCATTGGATTGTTAGATTCTAGAGCAAGTATGTGACAGTACTTATTAATCATTAAAATTCCATGTGAACATAAAGTATTTTTTCTGGTTCTTAGGGGTAGGAAGGAAGATCAGCCATCATCTAACCAAGGGCCGAACACATGCCCTTGAGAAGGTGAAGCTAGGATTAAAATTTGGGTTTCAGACCAGTACTCTTCCCTTACATCATGTTACACTGTCTTCTGTGCTGTGTGATAGTTTTAGAAATGAATGATCTGTTAAGGGAGATTTATTTATTTACTTAAAGATTTGTTTATTTTAGAGAGAAAGAGAGCGGGGTGGGGAAGAGGGAGAGGGAGAGAGAGAATCTTAAGCAAACTCCATACTCAGCACGGAGCCCGATGCGGGGCTCGATCTCATGACCCCAGATCGTGACCTGAGCCAAAATCAAGAGTCGGACGCTCAGCCAACTGAGCCACCCGGGTGCCCCTGTTGAGGGAGATTTAAATTTAGCCGGTAATAGGCCCATACTTAGATTCAACACAGTATTAATGACTTCAGAGAATTAAACCAAATTCCTATAAAGAGGAGAGAATACGTAATAGATTAGAAGTAATATGGATGCACACGCTCTGCTGTTTCTGCCAAGAGCCGCCGAGGCTGTGAGGCGTTCAAAAGACTAAACTGACATAGTCTCTGTTCCTCTCTTCCCAAGTATAACTTGCTTTCTTTTCCTTCTAGGGTCGTGAAGACAAACGTAAGGAAAGAAATGGGTTATAATTTTTCTGCCTCTGAAGCTGTTTCTAGTGGATCTGTTTTTTTAGATTTCTAGAAGCTTTAACCTCACCTTCATGGCTTCCAAATTGTCTTCTTATTTGGGCTTGATTATTTTTTTCTCCACGATATTTTTACAAGAAAGGAATAAAATTCTAGAAGAACCTCTAATTGCGTATTATCTATCCAGGAGAGAACAAATGTTCTTTTCGTGATGTTATAGGTATACGTGCCTTTGTGCAAATTTATAGCCGTTGTGAGATTTCTCTAGAGCAGTGGTCCGCAAATTGTCAGGACTGAAGATAAGTTAAAAAAAATTCTGAATTCTCTACTTCATATTACTGGGAAGATTGCTCGAACAGTTATAGATAAGACAGTTACTGCTTTTAATTCTATTGTGTGACTCACATGCAACTGAAAATAAATTCCTCTCTCTTGTCCCCTCTGCACTTGTTTTTGTGTGGTTTGCCTTTAGAACTGCGCACAGATCCCTTAGCGTCCTTGAGGACCACTAGTCGTCCTCAGGTCATACCTCACCACGCTCCTCAGTCTCTAGATGGGGTAGTGGACCCTTGACATCTATATCACCTTAGCAATTCCTTAGATTTGGGAATGTAGAAGTATTTTTGGCTATAGAAGTAACTATGGCTGCAAACAACCAAATCATTTTACTACTTTAATTTATAAACCCTGTTGAATGAGGTCCAAGGCAAGCCATCTTAGACTAAATTTTACACCATGTTTTATATCATCGTATGATCGTATTTGTTCATCATGTAAATGTGTGTATTTGCAAACATATAAAGTATGGGGTCTTCTGTGACAGCACAGAGCTTTACTTTTCTCATCCAGTTTTATAATAATCTATTACATTCTTTTAAAACAAGTTGCTAGATATTCCCATTTGGTGTATATCAAACTAATACATTATATTCTAATCTCCAGCTTTGTATATAAATCAGGGGTTGGCGGGGCGCCTGGGTGGCTCAGTCGTTAAGCGTCTGCCTTCGGCTCAGGTCATGATCCCAGGGTCCTGGGATCGAGCCCCACATCAGGCTCTCTGCTCA